TACCAGTTCAGATCATGTATGGCTGCAAGTAACAGGGATCCAAAATAACAGTGGCTTAAAAAAAGATTTTTTCTTTCACTTGTGTGAAAGACCAAAACCCCCATCTGTCACCCCTAGCAACCATTAATCTGTTCTCCATCTCTGTAATTTTGAGATGTTCTATAAATGGTATCATACAGAATGTGACCTTTTGAGATTGGCCTTTTTCACTCAGCAAAATCCCCTTGAGATCTATGCAAGTTATTGTGGATATCCAAAGTTGTTTCCTTTTTATAGTTCACGGTATGGATGTACCCACATTTTGTTTAGCCAGTCACCTATTGTAAAACATTTTGGTTGTTTCCATAGTTTTAGCCATTACAAATAGAACTGCTATGAACAATCATGTATAGGTTTTCATTTCTCTGGGATAAATGCCCAGGATTACAGTTTCTGGGCCATATGGTAAATGCATGGTTAGTTTTCCAGAAACAGCCAAACTGTATTCTGGAGTGTCTATAGCATTTGACATTCCCATCAGCAAGATATAAGAGATCCAGTTATCTGCATCCTTTCTAGCATTTTCTATTGCCACTATTTTTTTAATTGTTCTAATAATTGTTCAGTGAAGGCTCATTGTGGTCTTAATTTGCATCCCCCTGATCTCTATAGAGATGTTGAACATCTTTTCATGTGATCATATGCCATCTGTTTAGTTTCTTCAGTGAAACATCTCTTCATGTCTATCCATTTTGTAATTAGATTGTTTTTATTTTCTCTGTTGATTTTTCAGGGTTTTTCTTTTTCTTTTTTTTAAACTGAAGTGTAGTTGACTCCATTTTACATTAGTTTCGGGTATACAACCTAGTGATTAGACAAGTCTGTATGCTGTGGCAGTTTTTATGTATCCTAGATACGAGTTCTTTGTCAGATATACAGTTTGCAGATATTTTTCTTTGCCTGTAGTTTGTTCTTTCATCCTCTTAACATCCTTTTGCAGAGCAAAAGTTTTTAATTATGATAAAGTCTACTACTTGGTGTTTTTTTCCCCTGTATTATGCTTTTTGGGGTAATATCTAAGAACCTTTCACTAAGCCATATGTCTCAAAGATTTTCCCCTATATTTTCTTCTAAAAACTTGATAACTTTACATTTTAAATTTAACTCTGTGATCCATGGGACCCCTGGGTGGCTCAGCAGTTGGGCGGCTGCCTTAGGCTCAGGTTGTGATCCCAGGATCTGGGATCGAGTCACACATCGGGGTCCTGTGAGGAGCCTGCTTCTCCCTCTGCCTGTGTCTCTGCCTCTCTCTGTGTGTGTGTATCTCTCATGAATAAATAAATAAATCTTTAAAAATAAATAAATCTGTGATCCATTTTAAGTTAAATTTTGTATAAGATATGAAATTTGAGTCAATGTTCATTTTTAAAGAGATGGATGTCCAGTTGTTCAGCACCATTTGTTGCAAAGACTATCTTTCCTCCATTGAATTGCTTTTGTATCTTTCTCAAAAACCAGATGAGCATATTTCTGTGGGTCCATTTATGGGTTCTTTTTTCTGTTCCATTGATCTGTCTGTTCCTCTGCCAATACCACATACTCTTGATTAGAGTAACTACATAATAAGTCTTGAAATCAGGTTGACTGATTATTCTCACTTTATTATTCTTTTGCAAAATTGTTTTTTTTAAGTTTGGGGGTTTTTTTTGATGATTTTATTTATTTATTCATGAAAGAGAGAGAGAGAGAGGCAGAGACATAGGCTGAAGGAGAAGCAGGCTCCCTTCAAGGAGCCCGATGCAGGACTCAATCCCAGATCCCAGGATCACGCCCTGGGCCAAAGGCTGATGCTCAACGCTGGGCCACCCAGGCATCCCTGCAAAAGTGTTTATTCTAATTCCTTTGCCTTTCAATGCAAATTTTAGAATAGTCTTTTTTTTATTTTTTTTTAAATTTTAGAATAGTCTTGCTAAAAATCTATGGGACATAGGTAGGAATGTATTAAACCTGTATATCAGTTTGTGGAGAATTAACATCTTCACTATGTTAAGTCTTCCAATCTATGAACACGGTATGTGTCTCATTATTTTGATCTTTTATTTCTTTAAGATTTTATTTATTTATTCATGAGACACACACACACAGAGAGGCAGAGACACAGGGAGAGGGAGAAGCAAGCTCCATGCAGGGAGCCTAATGTGAGACTCGATCCAGAGACTCCAGGATCATGCCCTGGGCCAAATGCAGGCGCTAAACCATTGAGCCACCCAGGGATCCCTGATCTTTTATTTCTTTTGTCAGTGTTTTATAGTTTTTAGCATACAGGTTCTACACATGTTTTGTTAGATTTGCACCTAAGTATTTATTTTTGAGCAAATAATACTATATTTCTTAATTTCAGGATGCACATTTTCATTGCTAGTATATAGAAGTACAGTTGATCTTGTACTCTGTGGCCTTCTGGAATTCACATATTATTCCCAGGTTTTCCCCCCACTATGAATTTTCTATGAAGACAACCATTTCATTTGCAAATAGAGATAGTTTCATTTCTTATTTTCCAATCTTTATGCTTTTTCCCCCCTTTCATTGCCTTATTACACTAGCTAGAATTTCCAGTACTGTGATAATTCAGAGTGGTAGCAGGATGCCTAGGTGGCTCAGTCCATAGGTGTCTAACTCTTGATTTCAGCTCAGGTCATGATCTCAGGGTCTTGAGATGGAGTCCCAAGACAGGCTCTGCACTCAGCAAGGAGTCTGCTTGAGTTTCTCTCTCTCCCTCTGCCCCTTCACTTACTTGTGCTAAACATACATACATACATACTTTAAAAAAAAAAAAGATTGGTAGGAATGAGAATTCTCTCTTTGTTCCCAATTTTAGGGGGAAATTCAATTTTTCACCATTACCTATGATGTTAACTGTAGGCTTTTTGTTAGATATTCCTTATTAGAATAAGGAATTCTCTGAGAGTATTTGTCATGAATGGGTGTTGAATTCTGTCAAATTTTTCTACATTAATATGACTTTGTGATTTTTTTAAGCTTATTAATATGGTGGATCTATTGAGTAATTTTTAAATATTGAACATGCCTTGCATTCCTGGAATAAACCCTATTTGGTCATGGCAGAGAATTTTCTTTCTATATTGCTGAATTATATTTGCTAATATTTTGTTAGGGACTTTTGCATCTGCATTCATGGGAAATATTGGTTTGTAGTTTCCTTTTTTTTTGGTACTGTCTTTGTTTTCTGATATTGGGTAATACTAGCTTCATAAAATGAATTGAGACATGTTCCTTCCTATTTTCTGAAATAGATTATGTAGAATTGGTGTGCATTCTTTAAACATTTGGTAGAATTCTCCAATGAAACAGTCTGGGACTGGATGTTTCTTTTTTAGGAGTTTTAAGTTGCAAATTCAATTTGCTTAATAGATACAGTGCTATCCAAATTCTCTCTTTCATTTTGGGTGAATTGTGATGGGCTGTATTTCAAGGAACTGATCCATTTCATTGAGGTTGTCAAATTTATGTATGTAGATTTGTTCATAGTATCCTCTTACTATCTTTTTGATGATGGTCTTTAATGACATCACCTGTGTCTTTCTTGTCCAGAAGCAGAAGTCCTCTCCTTGGCATTTGGAAGGTGTGGTCCCAAACCTTTGCCTAAGTTATGTATTCCCCTGTCGCCCTGTCTCCCTGATCCTTACATGATGGGTCTCCTGACTGGGGTTTATGCCAGGATCTCTCTACCACAGTCTTCCTGATCAGATTTACCCTCATTTCTATCCATATGCAGACCTCTTCCTTCAAGCTAGACTAGAACCCTAAGTTCCTAGACCTGTGTCTCCAACTGCCTACCCTGCAGTGCTCCCTTGAATGTGTTACAGGCACATTGAATACAGCCCATCCAAAACTGAGTTCACCATCCTCTCCCCAGATCTGCTGCCCCTCTAGAACCCTAGTCTCCACGAATGGCAGTACCATTTACTGGCCAGAGACCTAGGAATTGGCCTTGGACCTCCTCCCCCTTTCACACCTACTTCTTGTCATCATCATTGAGGGCTGTCAGTTCTACATTGTAAACATCTCTGGATTCTTACCATCTTTGCCACACACCAAGCCACCCACCTGCACCATTGCTGTCACCTGCATCACTCTTATCCGGACACTTTGCCTTGGAAGAGTGACCAGAGCAAAAGTTCTCAAATGCACATCTAACCATAGCACACCCCGTGAGGTCTCCTGTGTACTTAGATAAGGCTCAGACTCCCTTTCTTGGGACAAGTAAAGCCCTGGATGATCTGGCCCATGGTTAAGTCTTGGGCATCTTGCCCAGATCCCTTTGTAAGTCTCCCTATGCCAGAGGCCCACAACCCTACTGGATTGTAACTGCCTGTTTAATTAAACAACATGTGCACTAGAATACCTGTTCTCTGATTCTGGAGGTTATGCTTCCCACTCTCCTGCCCTAGGCCCAACACAGTGTAGGTGAAGATAAGGCTGCTTGAAAATGGGAGTAAAGGTTGCACTTGGGGTCAAAATCGCTGGTTCCACTACTCACACTCCTCGTGCCACCTTGAGCAAAGCACTTCCGCCTCGGGTTTCCCATATGTAGAATGGGTGCAGTCATTCTTCCTCTTTTCAGTGATATAATCAGAAAACAAATATTCGTCGCTGTGAACCAGGACGCCGTAATTTGGTCTCCTCCACCACCTTTTCCCAACAATCTAAATGGTGCCTGGCCCGAAGCAGGGCCCAACGCAGGTGGCCGCAGATTTTCAGGAAGCACTCGCTGTCAGATCGCTGCAGGTGCAGGGAGCCTCAAGTGTCCGGGAACTTTGCCTCAGGCGAAGGTTGGCCCCACCTGCACCAGCTCCGCCCAGACGGCTGAGGAAACCCCAGAGAGACCAGCTGCCCTCTGGCGCGAGGCCCGCCCCCTCCCTGACTTGGCTTCCGGGGCAGAATGAGGCGCCCTGCTATTGGCTGTTGCTCTCTGACGTCACCAGGGAGCGCCCGCCTGTGCGAAAGTGTCCGAGCAGCCGCTGCGCGCGCTGCGCTCGCAGATCCCTAGGCGGAGTCGCGGTGCAGGTGTGCAGGCGCCTGCTGACCTTTGCCCCCAACCCCGTGAGCCCAAACCCGACAGCTCAGGGCGCTTGGCAAGACCTGCCGCCGCGGCCAGGTAGGTTGGGGGTGTGGGCCGGGCCGGGTCTCAGCCTCCCTCCAGGTCTGCCGCAGAGGTGGGCACGGGCCCCGGATCCTGGGCCGCTGCAGATTACAGCGACGGGGTGGGCCCTCGTGAGGTCCCGCCGAGCGCCGAGGACTGAGCTGGGGGACTGGTGCAGGGGGCCGAGCAAACGTGATGGAACGTGCCGCCCCATGTCTCTCAGACTGCGAGGCTTGTGTGTTTCTGCCTGGAATCTCTGCCTCTTTGCCTAAGGACCCTTTTCTAAGAGTTGAATTGAGCTCGTGCTCTGTTGCACGGTGGTAATTCCCGCAAAAGCACCAGAGTCACTTTCTAATTCGTACTTTGGCAGATGATTTCTTTAAGCTTCATTCCTGCTTCTGTAAAATGGGACGTTGTACCAGAGGGGATTGCTATCGGGCAGAATGAGAACCTGACCGTACCTGTCATGTGGGAAGGGCATAGTCCGTGGGGCCTGGGGTAATCTTGGAGAGCAGGTGACCAGCCTTATCCCTGAAGCAGCAGCCAGCCTATGACCACATTTTCCCTGGCTGACAGCAGACAAGGTGTCCGTGGGCCTCTAGATGTGTTGGAGGTCCAACCCCCACCACCTCTTGAATACTTTAGCCCAAGCCAAGAATTTCAGTGTCACCTGCACTTGGATTCAAGTCCCGGCTCTTTTCTCTCCTAGGGATCTTGGACAAATCCCTTCATCTTTCTAAGCCTGTTTTTTTCATCTGAAGTGGGGCTAACAGTACCTACCTTCCACAATTGTCAAGAGAATCTAATCAGGCGTCGTAGGTAAAGCACTTAAAATAAGACCTGGCATTCACTGAGAGCAGTAAATATTTCATCAGTGTGTGGAACGTCTGCATGCATTTTGGTTTTAACAGATTTTTTTGACAGCATGTTGTATAAGACAGGAGGGTGGAAATGTCAAAGCTCCTGGTTTTCTGGTTGAACTCCTTGGCCACTGCAGTGGTCAGATCAGTGACCTGGGTCTAATGAGTCTTTAACTGAACATGGCAAGTTGAACCATCAGGTGAGGACCAGGAATCTGGGACTACCTCCATGTGCCTGAGCATAAAGGGCTACTTTTTAAAGCAAGACCATGCAGGGCAGGGACTGTTTGGAATGAAGGACAAACTTAGAAACAAGAGGGACGCTTAGGTGGCTCAGTGGTTGAGTATCTGCCTTTGGCTCCTGGGATCAAGTCCTGTATCGGGCTCCCTGCAGGGAGCCTGCTTCTCCCTCTGCCTATGTCTCTGCCTCTCTGTGTGTCTCTCATGAATAAATAAATAAAATCTTAAAAAAAAAAAACAAACAAGAGAATGGGGTTTGTCTTTGAGTAAAGCCTATAACTCAAAACAGGACCTGAACCCTGTTGATACCTTCTAAGTGATTTGAGAAGGGAAGACACAGCCATGTTGACAATCACCAAGCTTTCCTAAGTAGTGAAAAGTCAACGCAGACTTCTCACATTTGCTCATTCAGCAGAGTGTAGTATAAGGCCTTCTGTGTGCCGGGTACAGTGCTGGGCACTGTGGACTCACAGTGAAAGAGACAGATGTAGACCCAGAACCCAGAGAGGAGACAGCCCAGTGATGCCTATCAGGCTTATAGGTCCTGCTCTTTGTCTACAGCCTCTTCCCTCAGGTAGCCTGAACTTCAGCAGGAGAAACTAAATAATTACCGTCTGGAGAGGTTTGTGCGGGCTGCTTCTAGGAGGCTAGGATAGCCTGGTAGGGGTTTGGACTTGGTAATGTGAGCAGTAGAAAGTATTTTCAGTAGAGGGGTAATAGGATCAAACTGGCATTTTTATGCCAGTGGGGGCGCCTGGGTGGCTCAGTTGGTTAAGCGTCTGCCTTTGGCTCAGGTCATGATCTCAAGGTCCTGGGATCAGCCCTGCATCGGGGTCCCTGCTCAGCAGGAATTGTACTTCTTCCTCTCCCTCTGCTCCTCCCCCTGCCCGTGCACACATGCATTCTCTCTCAAATAAAATCTCAAATAGATAAATAATAGATAAATGCATGCATGCATGCCTATGAAAGCTGTGAAGCTAGTTTCACCAGTGGTCACTTGTCCATGCAGGGCCCTACTCCTAGCTAATTTCTAGTCCTGCGTATTTTAGCTCAGCACAACACAACTTCCTCGGAGAAACTAGACAAAGGCAGGATACTTTGTCTTCACAGCAGCAGTCCCAGTTGTTGGGTCTTACTTACGACATCAGTTGTTCACATCAGTCTCTCCTGAGAGCAGGATGGCAGAGCCGAGGGTGTCTGATCTCTAGTTTGCTCAGTGCCTTGGTGGTGCCAGGGACAGTGTAAGCCTTCAGAAAGCACTGGTTGAAGGAATGCTGGAATCCCTGCCATCTAGATTAATGCCTGGCATGAAGTAGTCCTCTAGAAATGTTTCATTCCACACATTGAATTGAGCAAAAAAATCACATTATAAAGTATAACAGGGTGAAACAACTAATAAATGTGGACCACTTCCAGGAGTGTGCTGTGTCAGGCAGGGATGGCTGATGAGGCCAAAGGGCTTGGGCTGCAGCTCAGAGAACTATGGATCCTGCTGGTGGTTTCAGTGTCCTCTGTCCCCTAGGACCCACGTTTTTCTTCATAGGTTCTGATGCTGGTCTCCTGTAGAAAGTTGCTCACAACTCTGCTGCAGGCGCAGAAGTGGCCCTTTCAACCCTCCAGAAATATGAGACTGGTACAGTTCCAAGCACCCCACCTGTTGGGACCTCACCTGGGCTTGGAGTCAGGGAATGGCGGGGGGGTCATCAATCTCAACACCTTCGACCCCACACTGCCCAAGACGATGATGGAGTTCCTGGAGCAGGGAGAGGCTACTCTCTCAGTGGCAAGAAGGTAAATCAGCAGGCAGCATAGCCCTACAATGGCTGCCGTGCTACCCCTCCCCCTTCCCACCCCTATTCCTGCCCTGGGAAACCACCACTCTTTTGCAAGTGAGGAAGGTAACCCTACCTTTCCTTTCTCACCTATTCTCTTAGTGAAGAGCCTTAGAAATCTTGTATGACATCCTCAGGCCCAGGGATGGTGATTAACTATCTCAAGGCCACACGTTCAGTGGTGGAGCCAGAACTCTCCTTTGTCACACTACCTTCCCCAGGGGATTAAGTTCCTGTCTACCTGAGGAGTCTGGGACCTGGGCTCCCAGGAGGCATCTTGGGAAGCTTGAGGGAGTCTTTGAACGCTTGGCTCCTTAGAGGAGAGAGGACTGCAAAGAGATGTTCTTAAAGGTGGTTCTTGGGTTTGGGCTAGATTAGGTAGGGACTTCCCTCAAGCCAGGAGCTGTATGGAATCTGATAAACAGTAAATTAAGAACCACTTTAGTTATTATTTTTACATATTAAACTGGTAAAAATACAAATGTTTTGACAGCGCAGTGTTGGTAACAAGTATGTTTCCTATATTGTCATAGTCGCGAAAGATTGGAAACTACTTCCATGTCCCTCATCAGGTAATTGGGTGTATCTGTACTGTGCAGGTATACACAGTCATATCAAAAAAGGGGAAAGCTGTATACTGTTCTGCAGATATCTCCCAAAAATATATATTTTTAAAAGATGTATTTAGCGTACTGTCATTTGTGTAAAAAAAAAAAAAAAAAAGCACAGGAGGAGAAGAGTATATGTAGAACAACCATGAAGAGCTCCATAGGACATAGTAGCTGTGTCCATAGTAGCTGTGGAGAAGGGTGATTAGGGGAAGGGGTGGAAGAGAGGGCTTTCCAATCCCCTTACATGACATGTATTACCTAATGGGAGAAAGGAAATCAACACTGTGCTGATAACAGTGGTCTGATATCAAAGGATAATAGTTGGGTTTGATTTGCATACTGATTGTGATGGTTGATAGATCTAGAAGATATATTTATTTGAAAAAGCAAAACTTGCAGCTGCGGTAGTACCTACCACCTCAGCATGCCCAAGCGTTGCCGGCCTGTTCCTAATCAGTCCTTCTCTTCTGCTCTGGTCTCTGCAGAGCTTTGGCTGCCCAGTTGCCAGTCCTACCACGGTCAGAGGTGACCTTCCTGGCCCCAGTCACACGGCCAGATAAGGTGGTATGTGTGGGAATGAATTATGTAGACCACTGCAAAGAGCAGAATGTTCCTGTGCCAAAGGAGCCTATCATCTTCAGCAAGTTTGCCAGCTCCATCGTGGGGCCCTATGATGAGGTCATCCTCCCACCAGAGAGCCAGGTCAGTGCCTCCTCATAGGCCCCCTGAGTCACGGGTCCAGCATAGGGGGCTTAGCACTCAGCATCCAGCCTAAAGGAGCTACCTGTTGCTTAGTAGTGCATTCAGCAGAAACTACAGGGGATTATTCAGTGTAAGGCTGGTCTCAGGTAAAAAAAAAAAAAAAAAAAAAAAATCAACATATTGCAAAAATAATATACCTTAATTATTTTAAAAAATTCCGCATGCATCTTCTAAGAATAAGTACAATGTCCTATGTGACATGTCCTAATAACCACTATCACCACTAAGAAAATTAACATGAATAATACCCAATATGTAGTCTAATTGGGAATATTCCCAGTTGTCCGCAAAGATGACTTTTTTGCTTGTTGAACCAGGATCTTTCAAGGCCATGCAGTGTACTTGGTTATGTCTCTTTAGTGCTTTTAGTCTGGAAGAGGGATCACAGACTTTTTCAAAGGGTCAATCAGTAAATAATAGACTGAATGTCAGAGTGTCTGTTGCAACAACTCATCTTTGCCCCTGTCATGTGAAAGCAGCTGTGGTTGATACATAAATGAGTGAATATGGCTGTGTTCCAGAAAAACTATTTGTAAAAGGACCCAGCTAGCTGGATCTGGCCCATGGGCCATAGTTTACTGACTTCTGATATCAAACAATCCCCCTGCCCTTTTCTTTCATGCCACTGACTTGGAAGAATCCTGGCAGGTTGTTTTTAGCATATCCACACTCTGTTTCCTCATGATTAGATTTAGGTTAAACATTTTTGTCAAGAATTCTACATAGGTGTTAGTTCATTTGGGCTGCTGTAACAAAATACCACAGACTAAGGGGCTTTTAAACCACAGAAATTTATTTCTGGAGGCTGGGAATACAGGATCAGGTGCCGATACATTTGGTGCTTGTTGAGAGCTGACTTCCTGGTTCATAGGTGACTGTTTTTGCAGTTTTCTCACATGGAAGCTCTCTGGGATCTCTTTTATAAGGACATTTAACCCTATTCATTAGGGCTTTGCCTTCATCACCTAGTCACTTCCCAAAGGCTCTGCCTCCTAGTATCATCACATTGGGGGTTGGGCTTCAAGATTTTGGGGGTAGGGGTATATGCAGTCTGAAGCACCAGATGTGCACTGCACCCCATTGGGAGGCTTATGTCAGATGGTCCTAAAGTTTGGTCACTTGGCTTATTTGACATTCACTAGATCTCTTCATGGAAAAGGTGCATTTCACTGTGATAATAAACAGCCTACAGGGTGGGAAGCTGAGACCCTGTGACTACCTTTTGCCCCACAGCATTTCATCCAGGAGCCTCACCTGAATCTATTATTGTATTGGGGGTTAGAAAAAGGCTTTTTTTCTTTTTTTTAAATCATGCTGCCTTCTATTAGCTGGCATTCTGTGAAGGAAAGCTTCCTCCCTTATTTTTTTTTACTCCTTTCCCCTTAGTAGTACTGTGTATTCCTGATTTTCATTTTTATCCAAGATGTTGTAGTCCATCACTTATATTCCTTTTTATACTTAAATGGTCTCAATTTGGCCAGTGGTTGGCTTCAAGTTGGTCCCAGGCCTGTCACTTTTTGGGTACTTCCTTGCTTTCTGGCCAAGATATTCCAGGCTCATCTTGTACCATCTTGGACCTGAGATTAGCCATTTCTGCCAAGGAACCTAGTTCTGTACAGCAGGGAGCAATGCTAGAGACCAGGTGTCAGGTGTGCTCAGAGCAGTTCTGCTTGTTACCATTAGAAAGAGCAGGTAGTTTCAAAGGCTAAGTTGTATCTATCTTATAGTTGCATTTTGCTTATTATGGGAAAGGCTAAGCATGGTTTCCTTTTTCTGTGGCTGTGCCCATTTAAGTGAGTTAATACCTGAAAGCACTTAGGATGCTACTGGCACACAGTAAGGTTAGCTATTACTTGGTATTCATTCTTTTTTGAAACCATCAAGTGACTTGTAAAGTCAGTGCCCAGACTCGTGTTGCCTTTTTTTTTTTTAATTTATAATCTCTACATTCAATATGGGGTTCAAACTCACAACCCCAAGATCAGGAGTCACATGCTGTACCAACTGAGCCAGCCAGGCGTCCCTCATGTTGCCTTCCATCTGTAGTCACAGTGGGGAGCTGTGCTGCCTGCCACTGCCCACGTTTTTGGGTCTACAAGCCACACTTTCCCCCTCTCGTTCCTACATCTGGCTCATGGTAATGACAACTGTGGGCCCACAGCCAACCACACTGTTGAGAGACCTAGGCCCTGAAGCACAGTGTGCAGCCCCTCAGCATGAGCCCCCCACAGAGCCAGACAGTTCACTGCTCCTTTCTCTATAGGAGGTGGACTGGGAGGTGGAGCTGGCTGTGGTCATTGGAAAGAAAGGCAAGCGTATCAAGGTAAGGTGGAAGAGGCACCAGCTGTCTCTGGCATTGGGAAACAGCACCTACCTGCTCCCTGACTGCCTTGTTCCTTACCTGTCTTTGGCTAGTTCTGGCAACTAACATGGGATGAAGCTTTATTATGGGGATTGATATCACCATGATGCTCTAACTTCCAATCCGGCCAAATCCCCTGTCCCCTAAAGGCCACAGATGCCATGGCACATGTGGCCGGCTTCACTGTGGCTCACGATGTAAGTGCTCGTGACTGGCAAATGAGACGCAACGGAAAGCAGTGGCTGCTGGGAAAAACCTTTGACACCTTCTGCCCCCTGGGCCCTGCCTTGGTGACCAAGGACAGTATAGCAGGTAGGTCTTGGATAGCCCACATGGGGACTCTTCCTGCTCTTGCGTGGATATGTCGGAGTAAACGAAAAGCCACACTCAGGAAATTGGAGGTGGCATTGCACAGGCCTCCTTCCATGTTCCTCACCCTAGAGGTGGTATAACTTCCTCTAGCTGCCACTATCCATGAGCATCTTTAAGTTGGAAAGAAGAAGTTGGCTGTTGAGCATTGGAAAATGGCTGTCAAAAGCCTGTGCCTTTTCCCCAATAAGGGAGAGGTGAGAGCACAACAGGACCCCCACAGCCAGTGTTACCAGGGTAGCACCAGTTCTAGTGGTGCTACCACTAGAAGCAAGGGCACAGTGAGTCCGGAGGAAGGCCCATGATTAAGAGGGCAGAGCACAGCCATTTGTGTGGGGGCACGTCCATACAGTCCAGCTTTACACCACCCCATGCAGACAACATCAGTAAAGTGAACTTGTGTTTGGCTGCTCTGAGGAGTGGGGGGTAAGCGTATAAAGCGAAAAAAATGAAAGTGCTCATTAGTCTGGACATTGGTAGAAGTAAGCAGTCCCTTGCTCCCCTGCCATCAGGTGGAAGAGGTGTCAGTGCCCCTGCCTAGGTGGTTACCCTGCTGCAGTTGACAGCCTCTGCTGGGGACAGAGGAGAGTCTGGGCCATCCCCTTCTTAACCCACCCAGCTGACCACTGGCAGATGCTCTGCTAGATGATGGATGCATGAGGACCTGAGAAGGCCAATGTCCATACAGAAAGTTCCAGAGTACGGAGTGCTGACTGGGCATAAAGTGCCAGGAACACATGCACGGAGACAAAGCAGACAGACCTTTCACCTGGCCAGTCACAAAGCCACCCTGTGCATTTGCTGAGTAAAGGGAAGGGTTTGAGGGAAAACAAGGAAAACCTCAAGGTGGTGCTTTTACACTTTTCAGATCCACACAACTTAAAGATCTGCTGCCGAGTGAATGGGGAGGTGGTCCAGAGCAGCAATACCAACCAGATGGTATTTAAGACGGAAGAGCTGATAGCTTGGGTCTCCCAGTAAGTGGGATGGGACTCTACTCCACACACCCACCTGAGGCTGAGCCTCCCAGCCCTGGCTCTGGCCACCTCAGTCCTCGGTCTCACCTGCCTCTTCTGCCCCAGGTTCGTCACTCTTTACCCAGGGGATGTCATCCTGACTGGGACTCCCCCAGGTGTTGGTGTATTCAGGAAACCTCCAGTTTTTCTCAAGGTAGGTTGATTAAAGGCTGGAAGGGAACAAAGACCCAGAATTCCTGGCAGGCTTGAGAAATCCAGGCCTGTATGAGGCCAAAGGACTAACATACTCCTGGCCTGCTCTGTTCCAGAAGGGCGATGAAGTTCAGTGTGAAATTGAAGAACTAGGCATCATCATCAACAAGGTTGTGTGATGACTCTCCCAGAGGCCCTGGACTTAACAGGTGGGACATCCATTCCCACACAGTGTCAGCTGCCTCTTCCAGGCAGAGGGAGAGGAAGCTGGCTTTCCTTGTCAATAAAATTCTCAGCCAAAGCAGCAGCTTGGCTTCTGCTACAGTTTGTCATCTTTTTAGGGTTTCAGGAAATAAGACTGGGCACTCTCACAGGGTGGGGAAGGAGAGAGTAGATAACCCAAAAAAGACACTCCTGGGCTTGGGAATAAGACTGGTCCAGTCCCTTTGTTTAATACACCAAAGGATGGAAAATGCAAGAGACAGCAAGGGACAATGAAGCACAAAAGATTTTATAGTTCAGGTAAGGGTATGCACCCCTCCGCCGGCCCCAGTCAGTCTTCTGGCTCCAGGACACAGCCATGTTCTGGGGCTGAGAAGTCTCAGCATAGGCTCCACCCCGCACAGTTCTAGCTACAGATGAACTGCCGGATGAACTGTTCCAGCTTCTCCTGATTTTCCCGGCTGGTGAATGTAGGGGAAAGGTAGAGCATGGGGCCTGCAGGGCTGGGTGTCTGCTGTAGCACCTGGGCCACAAGGGAAGGGCTGTGAGTGCTCATCATGGGGACTGTGCCTGTCTCCAGCAAACTGCAGACACACCTCAGGACCCTTAGGCCTTAGTGTTTGAGTGCAAGAAACTCGAGAGTAGGATTAGACAGTGGTTTAAGAGACTATGAGGGCCAGGAAAACTGTCCTACCTTCAACTGCCGCCACCAAACCTATTCTTGGGAGACACTAGGTAACCAGCAGGGTGGGCACAGCTAGGCTGCTCTGGGCAGCTCTATCAGGGTATAGGGTTGGGAGGAAGGAGGATGGTGAGACTGGCTCCTCTTACCCCCAGGTCTCTGAAGGTCCAGATAGCACTGACAGCAAGATTTGGGTCTGCACACTCTGGAAGGAAGAAAGAAGTAAAAGCTTTAGGGAGAAGCTAGGAACCACTGGGCCCAGGCTTCTCCTGTGCTGAAAGGAGGAGCTAGCCAAGGATAGGGCTCAGACTAGATGTGAGGACCCTCTCTACTATACAACCCTCCTTCCTGGAGTTGCGTGATGTCATTTCCCAGCAGGGGGCAGCAGCCACCGGCAAACCCTTCCCCGCCTCTGGGGAGCCTGGGCTGGCTACTTGGGACTCACCAAAGAACCCTTCCTCCTGGGCATTGGCCTGTAAGAACTGCAAGAGCTGCTTGGTGTAGCCCAACTCTGTGGGAGAGAGAAGACGTAGGCCTGGGGCCCCAACCCTGTGCTGTCAGCCTCCCCATGTAGCTGGCTAGGGAAGCACGGGTCCTACCCGTATCAGGCAGCTGTCCCTGGTGGAGGAAAGTAGCAGCCTGTGCAAAGGCCTTGAGCAGCGGGTTAAGCAGGCGGCAGAGGAAAAGGAAGAAGTCAGGGCAGCGTGACTGCTGACTGAGCTGGAGAAGGACAGACCAGAGTGAGGGCAGCTCCCAAGAGGGCTATCTGCCCCCCAGCCCCAACATGGCTTCTCCCAACTTACCCTGAAGTACCGGCCCTCAGCTTCCTCGAAGTCATCACTGTCACTATCAGTAAAGTCCCCACTTGGTCTCCACAGCAGCTTTGCACTTAAACGCTGCCGCCCTGTGTCACAGGCTGGCCGGGAGCCCGGGGTCTGGGGGCCGTGGGAGCCATTGGTCCCTGACAGGTTCAGCCCTGAGCCCCCTACTTCCCTAAACCAGGTACATGGCAGACCAGGCATGCAGAGGTGAGAACAGACCAGCAAAGGCAGACCTAGGGAGCCCAAAAGGATCCCCAGGGCCATGCCAGACCACAGCACCTGCTGAGACGACTTGCAGGGTGAGAGGAGGTGTGCACTGACCCACAGCTCTGTGGACAAGAACTGGGCAGGGCAGGAGGCATGCAGAGAACCCCAGAGGTACAACTGTCCAGGCCTGTCCTAATCAGGCAGATGTGGTAAAGCCCAAGGCAAAGGCGGCAGAGGCAGGACCTAGACCTCCCTGCCTGCTGGGCTAGGGGCATGCCCACCCCACAGCATGCTGGGGTAGGAGGAGGAGTCTGGGGCATTTGTCACTAGGGGTGGGAGCAGGTGGCCAAGCCCCACACTGGGGCTTTGTCTCCAGCTGCCCTGCCTACCTCCTCAGCAACCAGGAGCCCACACTGGATGAGACGGTCCAGCACTTCCTGACAGTAGCAGTAGGAAGACTGGCAGGGCTGAGGAGAAAAGCATTCGTGTGGCCTCAGGAGAACCAAATGATGGGCAGGAGCCTGGCCAGAAGCAGGGCAAGGGAGACCGACCACCATAGGAGGACCTAGGGGGAGGGACTGGGCAGGCACGGGCCCCTCTCGTCAACCAAGATGGGGAGGCCCAAGACCATGCAGGGCTGGGGGGAGAGGCCTGACCTGTAGCAGCAGCAGGTCCTGTGGCAGCAAGTGCAGCAACAGGAGGATCTGGCGGTACAGCTCGTTCTGGCTCAGCAGCTCAATGCCCTGTAGCTCCCAGGGCCCCTCAGGTGGCACTCTGCCTGCCAGCAGCCCTCGAACAGCACAGGCTAGGGGAGGAAAGGGCTGGGCACAAGTGCGGAAGCCAGTTGCCTCATCCCTACGCACATCCCACCCAGCCCAAACCCTAGGGACTCACCACCCACAGCCTCACTCAGGAAGGCAGGCAACAGCTCCGCGCTCAGGCGTGCCAGGTGTGTGAGACCTGGGCCCAGCCGAGGAACTACCAGCAAGTCCCCCTGCTGGACGTGCAGCAGGGCCACATGTGCCTGTAGCAGGCTCAGTGTGTGTTGCACAAGGCACCGCAACTGCCCTGAGAAGCCCACGTCAAAGCCACGCAGCAGCGTCTCCTCTGTCAGCCAGGAGAACTCCCCCAGGAGCTGTGACAGGAACACACCCTGGGGGGTGGAGGGGGCAGGGCAGTGCAGGAGTTGAACAGGATGCTCACACCCCTCCCTCAGCCTCCTACCATTCCCGTTCCCTACCTTCTGGTGCTTGAAGAGCAGCAGTGTAGCCATAATGGCCGTGCTCATTACTGCCGAGCTTGTCACGCTGGCTGGGACGGGGAATGGGAAATGCTGGTCAGGGCCTAAAGGCCAGCGGCCTAGTCCCTTCACACCGCCCCAGCAAGTTTTCCTAGTCAAGAGCATTCCTCCCACAGCCCCCTGGCAGCAGCCACACCCCACACACACAACTCCACCCCAGGTAAGGGGAGAGAAGGCCTGGTCCTCGAGTGCCACACTTCCTGTGGAAAACCAACGTTTATCAAATACATGCTGGGAGCTCAGGGATCTTCCTTCCTCTCACAGGCCCACTCACCAACCCAGTCTGCCACAGAAGAGGCACTGAATAGTAATAAAATTGGTAATACAGTTCTGGGTACAGAGGGTGCTCTTAAGTCCCTTACGTACATAATTCTGTGCAGCTGACATCACCTTCATTTACAACTAAGGAGACAAGACTCTGGTGAAGTGATGAGCCCAAGGCAGAGCCAGGTATGGCTCATCCAGCCATCTACCCCCTACACAGTGCACCCTCCACAGCCTAGCCAACCTGTGTGCATTTAGTGGCTCCCTCAGGTTGTCCCTGGCTTCCCTGCTCCCCCGGAGCAGAGCGGGTTCCACTCCTCTTCACATGTCCCAAGTGGGCCACACAGGAGTGCATGTGCAGAAAACCACTGGAAATGGAGGGGCCCAAAGACTGGCTGACCCAGTAGAGCAAGTGCTCAGGAGCCTTCTCTAAAAGGTCCAGACCTAGCCCTCACCATTCAGGACATGACGGCTCAGCCTCCTGACCAGGAGCTGGTCCTCTTCCTTAAGTGCCAGAAGGAGCCCAGTTGCTGGAGTCCAGTCTTGTTCCTTTTCAGTGTCTGGGACAACAGTACTGGGATAGAGACATAGATCACAGGATAAACGGACCAAACTTAAAAGCAGTTATGGGGAAGCCCAGAGCTTTCTCAAAGGTGAATGTGTTTCCCCATCCCCACTCCCAAGGCAAGAGGTGGCTCCGGTAACTCTAACCCTTTCCAGGTCTGTGTGCCATCTCCCACGGTCAGATTATAGGCAAGGAGGGGTGCCTGGCTCTGTCTAGATGACCTATGGATATCTGGAGAGGGAAGGCTGGAGCTGGTGATGTGTTTGTGGGTATGGGGGAAGGGGGTGCCAGCTCACAAGCTGGGGCCAAAGGGCTGCCTGCCTTGCCCCCGAGACTCATACACTCCCCTGCCCCTACCATTGGCCCAGCACGATGGGCTGCAGCAGCTGCTCCAGGGTCTGCCTGCTGCCCCAGCAGCTTCTGGCGTTGATGGTGTATTCCTGTCCAGGACAAGGCTTTTAGGTGGCCTGCCCTGGCCCACTAGGAAACCTGCACATGACCCACCTGAGGTAGGCAAGGCTATCCCTCCAGAGGCTGAGGGCCAGGCCACCAGAAGCCCTGGGACACCACTGTGTGGCACCAGTACCCCAGGTAATCCCAAGCCTTGCCCAGCAGGCTGCATACCTGTAGGGAGAAGGGCTGTGCCAGATGCACACGGACACAGACCCTGGGGCTGTGGCCCCAGCTTCGTAGGCTCCGCAGGACAGCTAGAGCTCCTGTCCACAACCCCAGTGGGGCCAAGGCCTGCAGAGAGGGAGAGGTTGAGTGAGCAAACTGCCTGGGGGCACTGTTTTCTGCTCTGCTTTATTTGGGCCCCTAACTGGTACATGATCATGACCTCTGCAAGCTCATTTTCTCATCCATGAAACAGGAGAAATCCCTCTCTCTCTTTTGAAGATGAAATGACCAGATAACTATCATAGCATTAGCAAGTGCCACAGGATGGTGACTGGAGAATTCCTTTGCACTGTCCCCTTAATTCTAACCCAAGGAGGAGACGGCCAGAGGACACAATAATGTGTCCACTTGGGGGAGTCACCAGGGGCAGAACTCACGTGGTATATATCACAGGGTGCATCTGGAACCAGGTCATAGGTGATGGCCACTGGCACTAGCATGGCATCTGGGACGACACCCACCTGGACAGCCTGTACTACCAGTCCCAGCCAGGTCTGGCCCAGGGCTGATAGCCGAGGCCCCTGGGCCCCAGGCAGCTCCTCCAGGAATATGAGCAAGGGCTGCCTGCTGACCAACAGCTGCTCTATAGCCTGGAAGGGGGTTGGGAGAGGCAGGCATCAAGGCCAGAACAGCAACAAGCCCCTGTATCCTGGTCTGGTACCACTGGGGGCACTTACGGCATGGACGACAGCCCTTGCAAGGACCCCCTCAGAGCTGTCCAAGGTGAGGTTGGCCTCTGGGGGCAAGAAAAGCCCCCCAAGCTTCTTTAGCAGAGCTCTGTGGGGCACAAGGCAAAGCTTGATGAGAGATGGGGCTCAGGAGATAGGACCAGGCAGGAGGCTAGTAAGAGCCTCGGCCCACCATGGCCAGCCTGGGTCCTGCCTGAACACCCTGAAGCCAGGCATGACCCTAGGGCTCATAGCTGACCCCATCTGAGCCCCATAGGCTGAGATGGCTGAGAGTTGGGAGCAGAGAGGCCAAGAAGAGGGCCTCTGGGAAGCTCCTACCAGCACCACCTCCATACACATCCCCACCCACCCTTGCCCCAGGTTAGGCACTTCATCTCTATACGTGTAGGAGCACCAGGCTTTTACCTGAGGGCAGGGGAGCAGGTGCGGGGGTCCCAAGCCACACGGAGCACACCCAGGCCTTGGGAGAACAGCACAAAGGGCAGCAGGATCCCATCCAGGAGTGACTTGTGGGTAGAGAGGAAGACAAGCGGCAAGCCCTGCTTGGGGAGAGCCAGAGGGAAGTGCCAATCCGCCCCCACCCTGAAGATGCAGGAAGCTGAAACCCAGCACCTCCAGACCCAGGGCAGCCCCAGAGGGAGGAAGGGTTCAGCTGAGCAGTTCTTTCTCTGAGCACATTTCCCAAAAGTAGAGGAGCTCTGTCAACAACTTTTAAGGTAATGCACTGATGTAATGGTTGTTAAGACCATGATGAAAAGACGTTAGAGGAAGCCCCATGGGAGCAAGACCGTGAGACACGACGAGAAGGTCGTCAAAGAGCAGTGGATTTTTCCCACCAGCTGATGGGGCTGGTCCTAACTTAGGGCTTGAACTAGCCTCTGCTCCTCTGTTCCCGCCATCCCCATCCCAAAGGAGGGCGGGCCTTACTGCCTGGGCGGCCTTGTGGACCATCTTCATCTGGCCCTTGTGGAGCTGCACGTTCAGGAAGACACAGTTCAGGAACCGCAGCAGTGCCCAGCTGAACAGCCTGGAGAGTGACACCCAGTCTGAGGTGTGTCAGGGCCACACCCACAGAGCAGGGCCCTTGGCACCTCAAGAGGCTACCCAGCACTCCTGCGAGGCAAATAGTTACCATCTCCACTTTATGGAAGAAGGAAGTGAGGCTTCTATACAGAAGCTGCCGAATAGTAGAGAAAGCTAAGAAGTGGTGATATGGAGATTAGAAGGGAGGCCTGACACCAAAGCCCACACCTGTGAGATGCAGTTACTTTCCCAAGACCTCATGGTGCAACTACCTCAAATCAGCTTCAGAGCATCTTCCTGCCTCCATTTACCCCAAAAGAAATTAGAGGACCAAGACTCCCTTCAGGCATAACCTTGCCTGGTCTTTGAAAATTGCTGGGAAAGATGAAATACAAAAAGGAGGGATTTAGTGATTCAAAAAAAAAAGGATAACTGAAAGGGCCAAGTCTCTGATGAGGCATTCCCCAGAGGCCTGATGAGGGGGACTGGTGAAGAGAGAAGCATAGATGCAAGCAGCATGCTCTCATCCAATGGCTTCTACTTCTCCATGAAGCATGAGATGGGGGCATCAGTTAACAGCAGGTAAATGTGAGGAGGAGGAGTCTGGATCAGTCTTGGCAGATGCTATATGCCTCTTTGAAAATCTCAAAGGAAACATTCGGCTGCTTAGGTACAGAGAAAGCAGGTAGGTGGGTTCAAACAAAACCAGTGACTCCTTTGCAAGGGCATTATCATCATGATGAGCCCTGGAATCGAAGCAAGGTCAAGAGAATAAACAAGAGGAGGGGTAATGGCTGGTATAAAGGTGGTCAGGTCAAGGGACTGGAAGTCTCAGCAAAGTCCAAGAATTGTCACATGGAGGAGCTGGTCAAAGTTCCCGACCTCTACTTCATGTCCTAACTAAGCAGTTGACCTCTGAGCACCTTCAAGATAGCTGAGCCCACCATGCAGTCCTGTGCCTTCTTTCCCTCAGTGACTCATTCATCTCTTGGTTTTATTTATTTATTTTTTTAAAGATTTTATTTATTTATTCATGAGAGACACACACACAGAGAGAGAGAGAGAGAGAGAGGCACAGGTACAGGCAGAGGGAGAAGCAGACTCCACGCAGGGAGCCCGACGTGGGACTCAATCCCCGGTCTCCAGGATCACGCCCTTGGCTGAAGGTGGCGCTAAACCGCTGAGCCACCCGGGCTGCCCTATCTCTTGGTTTTAAACATCATCTACATGCCAAAGCTTTGCAAATCTATGTTCCTAGCCCCAACCTCTTCTGAGCTTCAGACTCAAAAGCAACTGCCTCTTCAGTGTCTCCACCAGCATGTGAGGTATCTGAAACTTTTTACGTCCAAAACATCCTTTGTGGGCCAAACTCACTCCTCCCCAAGACTGCCCCCTCCATTCACACCACCAGGTCCTCTACCAGAAACCTGGCTCTCCCGTGATTTCTCCCTTTTCCCCTCATTGCCCCCAACCTCACCCTTCCATCCATCAGTGAGTCCGGTGAATTTCACATTGGTCTTTGAATCATTTTTCCTACCCCTACTGTCACCACCCCATTGCCTCATCATGGCATCTTACCTGGACTAACAAAGCTTCCCAGTCTTCTGTTCACTACTCTTGATCCTGATTAATCTTGTTAGCATTTCCTGCTTAAAACCTTTCCATTGGTTTTCACTGCACTTAGAAATCAAATCCAAACTTCCTAAATGGTCCTGCATGTCTTGTCCCTTCTATGTCTCAATTTCGTCTCCAACAGCTCTCTCCCCCTCAGCTTCCAACCACAGCTTCTTGAAAAAACCTGGCCCTTTTCCTGTGTCCATAGCTCATGCTAGTCCCTCTAGTAGGATTGTTCCCTCCACCCTTGCCCCCTCAAGGTTGGCTCCTTCCCCCTTTTGTCCCTTACAAGTCTCTTCCTTGCCCACACCTATTTTCAATCTTAGCCCTTGTTCTGTCCTTCTTGAAGCCGTATGTTTACCCTGCCTTGTGCATACTTCCATTCTCCAGAACAGTACCCTGCATCTAAGAGGAGCTCAGACCTGTGTCAGATGAGTGCAGGAGGAAGCATGGGGGCTTATAAGATGGGGGAACCAGCCACCGCATCTCTCTCCACAGGAACCTGATCTGGGGAGAGGAAAAAGGATGGAGAGGGAACTGGAGTCTGGGCCACAAACAGGGGCTCCTAGGGTGACTCCCAAGCCCCTCTTCCCAGGATAGACAACACCAGGCCAGCAATGGTGAGAACCTGGGCTGAAAGCTGGCTCAGTTCAAAGCCTCACCCAATACCTGACTGGTCCCATCCAGAAGCCAGCTGTCCTTGAAAGATCTCACAATGTCCAGATCAGGGGCTCCCTCTGGTAAGCATATCATCCAACTTCCCAAGAGGGGAGTGCAATCTTTCCCCAAACCTAGCCAACACCCACTCTTTAGAAGGGCAGATGCCCCAGCCTAGAGAAGAGTGCTCCTCAACACAGTTACCTGAGCAGGAAGGGGCAGAGTGGAGCCTGGAGATGACCCAGGATGCGCTGTACCTCTTTCTTCGCAAGGCCTGGCACCTGGCCTTCCCCAGCCCCTGCTGGGACCCTCCCTGAGATGACATTCTGCACCCTGTGGTGTGAGGGGGAGTGGTATCAGGCTGGGACAGGCCTAAGTTCTCCCAGATAACTTCCCTTAGCACCACAGCATCCCCAGAACACAGACTCCAGTATTTATCCTCCATCTTTAAGGAGGGGTCCTGGGCAAAGTTAACACTCTAGAATACAGCCCTCTAAACCACCCCCACCTGGAGTGCTAGTCATCCTTTCGAGGGTCTCAGAAGTGCCAGCCAGACTCCAATCCCTGCTTCCTCACCCAGTGTTTTCAATGATCTTCTGTGGGGCATCCCGACAGGGAGGTATGTGCTGCTCCAGTGACCATAAGAAATAGCAGAGCCTCCGAACCAGCCAGCCCCGAAACCTGGACACAGAGCAGGAAGGGTGGTGATCTTTCAGAGGGCCTATTATACCCCATTAGGGTCTACAGCAGGTATTCCACCGGGAAGGGATCACACCCGAGTCCCACGGCCTGGGAACACCTGAGTTTGGCTTATCACAGAGCAGGAAGCAGCAGTACCTGCCCATCTGTGTCCCATTGCCTCCCCTCTCCCTAGTGAGTGGGATACAGGTTTAGGGCCTAACACACAGTGGGCAATCCATAAATGCTCACAGAAGAAATTGCAGGAGAGCTCCAAGCTTGCCTCTCCCCACCTGTGGGTATGGAGCAGAGGGCAGGGCCCCTTCTTTTTCCACCAAAGGAAAAAATAATGACACCACAAAACAGGGACCCAGCAGCCCTGCACCCAAGGACCCTGCCCACCACCCTCCCCTACCTCCCAGCTCTGACTACCTGGTGTTCTCCTCCTTCACCAGGATCACATTGCAGAAGCCTAGATCCATTATGCTTCTGTGGAAGAGGGACTCCTGCATGAGAGGGGCCAGGGACGGCATGTACTTAGGGGCCATCACAAACCAACACAGGAAAGCCCTTGCTCTATATTCTGTAGGCTTTACCTGATGGAGTATGGAATATACCAGGAGACAAAATTACAGCACAGCATTTCACTTCTCAGATCCTGAGACTCACTCAGGACAAAGGGTCTCATATAGTCAAAATAGAAGTGCTGCATGCTCTACAGAACACCCTCTTGGAGAATAGCATATAATCTCTAAGAGTTTCTTTTGTTAAGAGCAGAGAACATGTAGACCGGATCTGTACCAGGACCCTGGGGCTCCTTGACACCAGTGCATGGTATGGATGCATGAGGTCTTCAAGCATGTTGAGTGCTATATGACTTTAAGTGGGCAGTGTCCCCAGAACTGAACAAGACTCATGCAGGCCTGGCCAGACTCTAGCCCTCTGGCCATGCCCTATCTCCTCTCTTTGTACTTCCCCACCCAACTCTCACAGGCCTGGAAGGCAGCCCAGACCAACAACACAACCAACACCAGTGCATCCAGTCCCCTGAAAGAGGAGAGACAAGAGCAGAGGCATGGGTAGAGGAGAGCTAAACATAAAGGAAGCTGCTTCCCAGAGCCGTGGCTCCCATTGTCAAGCTTCCCCAAGTTTCCCTGGTGAGGCCCAGTCCTACCATCACTCACCCAGCTCTTGGGAGTGCAGGTCTGGCAGCAGCGACCCACAAAGGGGCGATATTTCCCCAGAAATGGGGTAACAGTCTCCAGCTTCATCCCAAAGCCTGAGGACCACAAACTGGTCTGGAAAAGGGCCACAGGAAGAAATTAGAGGACTCAAAATCCCTGGAAAAAGAAGGCAGCTCCAGAAGTGAGGGGACATATGAGGTAAGATGAGAGGACAGAATATTGGGAATAGGAGGGGCCACCCTACCTCCTGGGTGTTCTGGGTGTTCCTCTGCTGGGTTTGAAGTCTGGCTTCCAACATGGTATCCATGGGGGCCTATAACATCTGGGAACTAGCCACTTCTGCCTCCCTCTCTCTCTCCACAGGAACCTGACCTGGAAAGGAAGAAGGATAGAGTGGGAACTGGAGTTTGGGCCACAACAGAAGTTCCTAGAGTGGCCCCCCCGACCACCCTCCCACCCCCATCCAAATCCTCACCCCCAGGAAAAACAGACAACATCCAAGCCGGCAGTGGTGAGAAGCTGGGCTGGAAGCTGCAGGGAACCTGGCTCAGATCAAAGCCCCACCCCATATCCAACAGGTCCCACAAAGGAACCAAAAGGTCTGTTTCCAGATCAGGGACGCCCTCAGGCTAACATGAAGAGTATCAGCTGTCTTATCATCAACAGCCCCCCTACCATCTCAAAGCACAGATGGGAGCTGTAATGGAGACTGAGACCCCTTATGTGCACAGGGAAAGAACAAGGCTGGATTGGCAGGAAGGAGGCATCAGACTGCAAAGAGGAACAGGACTGTTGCCATAGGGCCACCAGGTCCTCCTCAGCGGCTCTTCTCTCTTATACCACAAAGAGAGTACTTGATCCATCCAATCGTTACAGGAGTGTAGGCACAAGGTACAAGGCGGGGGATGGTTGGAGAGTCAGAACACAGAGAAATGCCATATAGACCTGTTTCCAAGGAGTGCTTATTTGGTTGGGGACAAGGCAGACTTTTCCAAAGTGCATCCACTTTTACATAGTACTCTTGACACAAAAGCTCCCACTTGGTATCTCATCAGCCCCTCCTTTCCACCACAATATTCCCCTGAACTAACAAACATCTTCCATGAAACATCACTGAACCCCTCCCAGCCTAGAAACTGTGGATACTAAAAAACCCCTCTATCCTAAGTCCTCACCATGTCCCTGATGGGTGGGATGATCCAATTATTTATGTTACCCCATCACACAATGCACATCCATGGGGAAGTGCCTTCTTCCCTCTTCCTTCCCCCACCATCCCACCAAATTCTGTCCTGGGTGTTCTTGGTGGCTCTATATGGCTCTAAATCCATGATGCCTCTGGATTGCTGTCTAGTTTTTTCCTCTTCCTTGGTTCCCCTAGCCCAGGCTTGCTGGGCAAGAAGCCTCCTCCAGTACCAAGGTTTCATTTCCCCATATCATCTGAAAGTCTCCTGGGGTCAAGAGCTGCAGTGGACACATCTCCATATGCACAGGGATCAGCCCTGCACAGAGAAGGGATCCAGGAAGTGCTAGATGAGACTGTAACTTCTTCTCCCAGAATTCCTCTGGTCTCTGCCTCTCCCCAGTTAGCACAGTTTAGAACTATGAAGCTAATAGGTAGGAGGATCGATATTCCTCAGTGCACAAGCTCTGCTAGACTCATTCCAAATGCACTTCCTACTTTGAAAAACGTTCTCACAGCCCCACTCACAGACATTGGCACAGGGAGTCCCCAAGCCAGGCTGCAATTTGAGGGGCTCTACCTATTTTGCAAAGGAGGAGGTCTGCTCCCCAGCCTCAGACCATCTCCATTCTCAAAATCAAATCCCAGATCTGTGCTAACCCTAAAGGGGTAACATAAAAGACAAAGCAAGAGGTAACTCCCATTTACCAAGTCAACAACTCAGCTCAGAAGCTCTAGAGGTCAGTTCTGGAATAGATCTAATGTTCAAGTCCCCAAAATGGAGATGCCTATCAGTTTGTAGCTCCTGCCTGGACATATACACGGCAGAGGTGGTAAAATGGCATCCCAAGGGCCAAATATAGCTCATAGGTGTATTTTCTTTGGCCATAAAATATTCTAAAACTTGATGATTTAACCTCAACATTTAAGTGTAGTAAACTTGTGAGCAGCCCTGGTGGCTAAGCAGTTTGGCGCCGCCTTGGCCCAGGGTGTAATCCTGGAGACCCGAAGTCGAGTCCTGCGTTGGGCTCCCTGCATGGAGCCTGCTTCTCCCTCTGCCTGTGCCTGTACCTGTGCCTCTCTCTCTCATGAATAAATAAAATCTAAGAAAAGAAAAAGAAAGAAACTAGTAAACTTGTTTTACTAGAAAAGGGGGTTTCTAGCTGCTGTTATTATTTTAAAAATCGAAACCCTTGGGGATCCCTGGATGACTCAGCGGTTTGGCGCCTAAGGCCCAGGGCGTGACCCTGGAGACCCGGGATCGAGTTCACATCGGGCTCCCTGCATGGAGCCTGTTTCTCCCTCGGCCTGTGTTTCTGCTTCTCGCTCTGTCTCTCATGAATGAATGAATGAATGAATGAATGAATGAATGAATGAACAAACCGAACCTCCAAACCTGAGACCTGGCATCCCTGGCTTGCACCCCGCAGGGCCCGGGCTGGCTGGAGCCCCGCAGCGTCACGTGGCTTCCCATTGGCCAACATCACCCACACCTGCCGCCTGGCCCGGGCGCGCAGCACAGTCTGCGGCCCTTCATCGAGAGAGAACACCCAAATCTGGTCGCTGTTCGGAATGACTGTTCCCTACGGAGAACCCCGGCTCGAACATGGCGTGCCGGGGGAGGGGGAGGGGGAGGGGGGCTCAGAACTCCAGCCTCTCACCAGACCCCTGGCAGGGTTCCCCGAGCAGCCCCAAGACAGAAGGAAGGGCGCCTGCGTCCGAGGCGGGGTCGAACGTCGGACCTGGGCGCCTCCCCTCAGTCTGCGCTGACGGACCCCACAGAGGGACGCATGACTCGGCGGGCCCTGCAAGGTCGGCCCTCCGTCCAGCTCTTGCCAACCCCAGAAAGGTCGTCCGGGCGGGCTCCCAAGGTGGGAAGGCCCCTGGACCGCCCTGGGCCTGGTCCGACCGGGCCCAGCGCGGGAGCAACCCCACGGCTCTCACCTCACGCCCGCCGCCAACTCCCGCCAAAGCAGCCGGCCCGCGAGGCAGCCGGAAAGCACAGCCTGCCTGGCTCCGCGTTCCCGGCTAAAAGCCAGCCCCGCTTAACCAATTGGGACGCGCGCCGGGCTCGAAGCCCCGCCCCCTGGCGTCCGCACCACCGCGCCAAGCTGTGCACGGCGTGGCCACGTGACCGTGTGCGGCGCTGCCCCCAGCGGGGCCCCGGCGGGCCGGGCGCGGACCTGCTGCAGGCTGCGTGCCAGACCTGTTTGCTCTCCCCGGGAGGCCGCGCGGGCGCGTGGAGCCCTCTGGAGACGCCCTTGAGACCCCGGGGTACCCCAGGATCTAGGGCAGCCAGGTTCTAATGAAAGGGTTTCTCAGGATACACACGGCCTCCAAGCTGAAGTTCAGAGTCTAGCGAAATCCCAGGTTGGGAACCTGTAGGAGAGAGAGAATCACCAGGAGCGAGTTACGGATGGTGGGAACACAGGCCGCCCAGCGTCGTTTCCCTACTTGGGTAGGACTCTCCCGCATAGGCAGGGAGGTGTGTGTGGGTCACCTGGATTCCAGCGGGCCTTGTGACCAGTGCGTTTATTGGTGTGGGTTATTTGAAACTCCTGTCTCGACCGTAAGCTTCAGGTGAATGAAGACTGTATTGGTTCATTCTTTTTTTTTTTTAAGATTTTATTCTTTTATTCATGGTAGACATAGAGAGAGAGACACACACAGGCAGAGGGAGAAGCAGGCTCCATGCCAGGAGCCCAATGTGGGTCTCGATCCCAGGTCTCCAGGATCATACCCTGGGCGGAAGGCAGGTGCCAAACCGTTGAGCCACCCAGGGATCCCCGGTTCATTCATCTTTTGACTGTCCCCAACACACAGCAGGGGAGCAGCAGGTAGCAGGCAAACCACAGAATAAATGAGGGAAGGAATGACTGCTGCGTCCCCACACTGCACCCCTGTAATGAGCTTACCTGTCACACAAGAGATTCCCAGGTTCAGAACATTGTTGACACTGCGTGAGCAAAACCACATGGAAGCCTGGCTGGGTGGGAGGGAAGGTGGTTCACATCCCTTCTCCTTGAATTACCACCCCTCATCATTCCCTCCAGAGTATAGCCATCTCAATGCCTTCTTTGTGCCACTTTGTGTGTGGCTACCCAGGCCATATATTTTGTGTCCACTGACTTTAACCCGGGTTTGTGGTGTCCTGTCAGCACTTGCAAAATCCATGTTTTCCATCTTGCTTTCTTTTGTATCTGGGTGCACTGGCCACAACTAGACCTTGAGATTCCAAAGCGGAAACAAATTAAAAAAAAAAAAAAAACCACCTTTATTTCAAAGTGTGAGGTGCCTCCTAAGAGTACAGACTTGAGTTTGCCTGACACCTCCTTTGTTCTGGGAATACTATCTGTATAAGAAGTTGAATTTCACAGTTGTCTGGGGTAAGTTCCCCCCTTTCCTCCTGAGGGAGATTTGTTGTTGAGATGTAGCCCCGAGCATCCCTAAGATGCTTCAGACTGGAAAGTTGCACAGATTGTGACAGCAGAAACCAGGTGTGTCAGCGAGCAGAGTTCTGTTCTTGGTCATGTTGCTTCTTTGGAAGAAATGTGTTTTGTTTTTGTTGTTTGCTATAATTTGCACATTTGAAAGGAAGCATCAATTCTCAGACCTGGATCAGAATTGAGGTATTGAGGACTCAGTGTACTTTTCTCCAAGAAGCCACAGAAAACCTGGGGCTGCTATGCAGCCAGAACTGCAGGCCAGCTGCTTTGGAGAACAACTGGGGCTGGCCTGATGTTGGAAGAAAGAGAGAAGCTCCTTTGGGCTTGGCCCTACCCAATCTGGACTGGAACTCAGGAGCCCCACCCTGGGTTCAGGCCAGATCCCATCACCCAGCATGTCCCGATGCATATAGCTGACTCCCTGGGCCCAGAAAGACAAAGGCCCTCCCTGTGGTTGGCAGCCCACCAGTGTTCCCTGAATGAGTTGGGCCTTCCTGCTATATATCATCTGGAAAAGAGGACTTAGGCTGGCATTCATTTAGGCAAAGGGCCTCTGGCCCCCCTCTCTGGGGCTTGTCACAGAGTTTGGAGAAAGGGCCTCTTTCTCGATTATCACCAACCACCACCTCCATCCTCTCCAGTCTAGGAGCTCAACACAGTCACTGTTAGAGGTAACCATTGGTTGTGTTCTGCATTGTACTTCCTTTCTATTACTCCAGAAACTTCCATAAAGTCTTGTTAAATATTGCAGTAAACAACACAGCTGAGAATGGAGGAGTGGAATCTTGGTACTGCTGGCTGGGAAGTGGGAAAATGGATGCTGGGAAGCTGCAAGCAGATGCTCA